TAGAAACTCGTTCATTGCTCAACTGCTCAAATGTTTGTTCAAAATTTTCGAGTTTTTGAACAATTTCATAAACAAAAGAAAATTTGTAAATTGTATTTGTCAGCAGCTGCTTTCTAATTCATGTTAAATAAATTATATTATTAAATACCAATGTAACAATCTTTGCATTATATATCAATAATTTGAAAAATTTAAAAAGTTGGTACCAAAAATGTCAATACAATAAAAAAAAACATTGCTCAAATTACTCGAAAACACTCGAATTGTTCGAGCTCATGCTCGAAAATTTTCGAGTAATGAGCATTGAACAAGTGTGCGAGTACTCGCTGCTCATATACCCGGGCTGTTTGAAAATGTGCGAACAAAATCGAGAGCTCTAATTTAAGGTATTTCGTTTGAAATAAGTCTATGTATATTGGATTTCTGTGGACCATTTTGAAATTGCCACAAGCTATATAACACAGTTTAAAGTAGAGATTCACCTTCGAACCGGAACATTGTTGCCGCCAGGGAGTGAAGAGGAGAAAATTCTTCAAATTGGGGGAAATTCCAAGAACTTCGTCGCGAACATTACACTTTCGTTCAGTTATTTAAGAGTGCGGACCACCAAAAAGCATTATACTAGCATATAAATCGTGTTCGTGAATTGTTGATGAAAATCTTTGACCAAAATGGTTCAATAAAAAAAATAATAATTTCGGGCGGGACGAAGATCGCCGGGTCTGCTAGTCTTTATTTATTTTACATAAAACTCTGTTGTGTGATATAAAGATTTATATGGCAAGATCTCGAGAAAATTTTAACAACGGTTTTAGTTTTTTGCCACTTTCGGCGCTCGTTGTCCGCCCCCAAAAACAAGTGTTTTATTTAAAAAACATTCGTTTATCAAATTATTTTGAAAATTAATTGTGAAAAACTGCATGGTCTAGAAAACTTAATAATAATAATAACAGATTGGCGCTTACAGAACATGTTAGTGTTGGCGGAGCTTCTCCTCCGATTTGTGGCGTGCACAAAAAAGGGGAAAGGAAGCTACAGCTTACGCCGACTTCGAACGGCGTTTTTGTTTTTATGAGAAGCTGTTTTTCATGGCAGAAAAACACTCGGAGCTTTGAGTTCAGACCAGTAGCTCGTTTCTGTAACAATTCTCTACCATGGCGAATTGAGATATGAATTCGCCGCCCTGTTCTCTATTGCTAATGAGTAGTAGAGAATGACGTATATATATTCTCTACCAGTAGAGATATAATCGGTAGAGAAAAGTTATAGAGATTAACGATAAGTAATTTAAAAGATTTCTCGCAAAATTCTTTGCAGATCACGAACACGAATACGAAGAGCAGCAAAAGCCGACGAATACGAGGAAGTATAAGCAGACGAATACGAAGGCGAATACGAATAAGAATACGTTGTCCAACCGAAGATAAGCACGAAGACAACGAAGAATACCAAGACGAATACGAATAAAAATATGAATGCAAAGTCAAATTCGAAGACGAATTTTCGTAGGATGGCCTAAGCGCATATTTTTGTTTTTTCCTGTTTCTGATATTTAAGGAGAGTGTTTATCTTTTCGCATTTTATTTTCACTCTTATTTTACTATTTTTTTTGTTTTTGTTTTTCGTTTATGTTTCTTTATAGAGAGATATAATTGTTCCAAAAATAGAAAATTAGTCGAATATGGACCATAACCTAGTTACGCAAAATTTTTTTTACTAAAATCAGCAAAAAATTGTGATATCTCAGAATTGAATTGAACAAAGTACTCGTGTCTATCAACATTTTTTTCTAGAAGTTCAGATTAACAGCCGTATTCTAACAAAGTCACAAATTTTAGCTCATCACTGCTGTGATTTCTACCGCGTCTCAAAGCTTGCCGCTCAAAAAATATGCCGCTTCAATTCAATTTTTTAAATTTTTGTGCATTTTTCTAGCACTCAAAATCGAATTTTTTGTGACAAATTTCTCGGCGCACTTGAAATCACAACAGTGATGAGCTAAATTTTGTGACTCTGTTAGAATAGAGGAGTAAAGGGTTGAAATTTTGGGGACAATTTGTAGAACTGTTTCTAATTTGTATACAAAGTTTGAAATGTGAATTTATATGTTTTGTTATTTTTTGAGATACCATGCCCCCTTTTCCAACATCTCCCACTTTTCGCCTTAAGTACGTTGTTGATGGCATAAATAGCTGTGTCAGATTTCAGCACCTTAGCATAAGCTCTTCCAGAGGTAAGCGATATTAGACTTTCAGTTGGTACGGGAGGTGCTACGCCTCCTGTTTTAATACCTACCATTTTTCGGCGTAAGTATAGTATTTACAGTCTATACATCCGTGCCAAGTTTCAGGTCCCCAGCGTAATTAGTTTTAGAAATATATCGGTTTTCACATTTTTGTCTGATGCCACGCCCCCTACGTAACGGGATTAATATTTCTGGATTAGAGGAAGTTATATCCCTTAAATCTGTGTACGTTTCATTGAAATCGGTGCCCTCAAAAAAGGGAGTTCAAAATTTTCTTTTAGCGTATTTATATATAGATAGATATAAACATTGCATAAACAAATAAAAAATGGCTAAACTGGTAAAAATATCACGTTCTGAAAAGATGCTAGAAAAAATTGTTTGAAAAATTAAGCCAGTAATTTGTCCTTGAAAAAAGCTAATTACAAAAAAAAATAATAAAAGCAGTTGCAGAATTTGTACCGGAGCATAGCGCTGACATCAAATTTTAGTATTTTCTATACCTTGGCCAAATAGTTATTGTTTTATAAATATAAAAATATAAAAATAATTATGAAGGAAGGCAAATGCTCCTTTTTTAGTAAACCGCCATTTCTGCAAAATTTGTTCAAACCACATTTTTTTTAGGCTATGACTTTCATCCAGCGAGCAAGCAGTATAAACATATCGTCGTTTAAAGTTCAAAACCGCGTATGAGCAAAATGCAAAACCGCGTATGTGAAGTTTTAGAAATTATTTTCTAGAGTGTAAAAACACTCATATTTCAAAATGGTTCTCTTTTTTCAGGTCGAATGGATAAAGATTGAGCCAAGAGCTTGTGTGAGCAAATCCAATTTTTGGCAGCCAATGTCAGTTTTGCAGAATGACGATACGCGGTTTTGTACTTTAAACGACGATATGTATCTACATACATAGACAATTACTCTTAACACATATTATTTGCTATTTTTACTTTGTCTAAAAAATGTCAGTTAAAGTTTTCCTTCATCGTCTTTGAGATTCAAATAAATAAGGTAGTTGTTAATAAATATTTTAAAGTATTGAATGCTACATATAATGAATGCCTTGAACGAATTCAATAGTTACAGCAGGATCGCAAGATAAGTTGTCTGCAATGAACAGGAAAATTCCACGAAATTCACTACACAAATTACAAGTCGGTTCACACAGTTATATTTTTTTTAATTGCTCGCAAAGCTGGATTACTGCAACACGTGCAAGAAAGGGAATTGGAATGGAAATTTTATACTAGGCTGTATTCTTTTTTTTAAGTAAAAAACAAAAAATATTAATAACATTTAGCATACACTTGCCTTTACTTTTTTATATGCATATTTACAACCGAGCTTTTCTCTTTTACAACGTAACCCCTTTTTCCTTTTTTTCTTTGCTTTGCTTGGTATTCTTTTTCACTCATTTTATTATTTATGCGCCATTAAAATGCCGCCACATTCTCCCTTGGCGCGCATTGTCGCGCTACAGGCCGACAGAGCGCTTGCTGAAATGTGAAGGATTAACTCACACTGCGGGCGGAGGCTTCAGCCGGCAGCGACTGCAGGACTGTTCGAGTATAGTCCCTGTGAGCGTGTGTTTACATTTCTTCTTTATATTTTATTTTGACTTCCCTACCCCCTTTTTCATTTGCATTTACATACATTCCCGTTGTCAATTGTGCTGTTGCGGAATTTTTTATTTTTATTTGTGAAACTTGTTTTATTTTTATTGATATTTTAATGCACTTAGTTCATTTTTTACGACCGCGTGCGCCTGAAATATTTTATTTACTGATTTTTTTAAAACTCTTTCCATAATCTTATTTGTTTGTGTAATTTGCTTATTTTGTGTAGTGTTTTATTTTACTTGCTTTACTTTTGTTTTACTTTGCTGCTGTGTTTGTGTGCGTTCAAATTTTCGATCGTCGAGTGTTAATGGAATTAAGGAAATAAAAGCGCCCGCTTTTGAAATTTACTAAATGTGTATTATATTTTAATTTAAAATTCTAAAAATTTGAAAATTAAAAGTAATCTAAATTAAAAAAATAAATTAACTAATTAAAAAACAGAAAAAGAAAATAACATTCAACACATAAACGCGTAACGGGTGAAAAGGTGTTTGCTATTTAGCAGGTAGCACGAAATCTTGATCAAAAGCCTGGGAAGAACAAACGACTTCTTTTCTTCTGTGGCAATCAGGCAGCCCTCAAAGCTTTACACTTGCTTATCAATGGCTTCGTTTGAACGATATTCAAGAGATCACACGACTTATTTAGCCAATGTACGGGAAAACTTTTCATCCTGTGAAACAACGAAGAGTTTTTTCCCTCCTTTACCTGAAAACCTTCGCCATAAATCCGCCACTGGTTCCTATTACATATAACCAAAAACATCAACCAAATTTATGTTAATACACGGCGTATGAGCAACCTAAAAAATATACTCACAATTGCACAGGGCGAATGAGTTCGTGCCAGTTTATCTATGTCTGGTTAACACTAACTGTAGGTTAAACATCGTTATCGATGTGATCGACTCCATAACATACAACAGGGGGTCGATAACGTTGATAACTATGTTTAACCTGTAGTTAGTGTTAACCAGACACTGAGAAATTGGTGCTTAATCATGAGCACAAGCATTAGGACGCCTTCAGCAAGCAATTCAAAACTAGCAAGTAATTTCGGCAATTCATGTGTTACCCAAATTCTGAACATTAAACATAATGTGATATTGTAAAAAGAAGCGATTTTCAGTCTTACCTCTACTCTTTCTCCAGCCTCGAAAGTTTCTCTTATAAAGCGCACCGCATCCAAATTCTAGATGTTACATTTAAATAACATTTCAAAATTCGAAGCTTAAATTGAATTATAATAACAATATATGTGCATATTTACATATATTTAATCCCGTACGAGTATTTACTTATCCTTATTTGCATTTATTTTTCACATAGTCCACTTACTGCGCGCGTAAATAGACACTTAATGGTACTTGCACAAATACAGCTATCGCTATTTAATTTCATATTGCTGCTTTTTACAAAAAAAAAAAACAACAACAAATTCGCAGCCCACTTGTGTCCACTTGGTGTGCCTGTAACGAGTCTACATACTGTCCGCACTTTGCTTCCCACCTGCGCTGCCTGACGTATATTGTATGGTAATGGCCACACGTGGCGGTGCTGACTGTGCACGCCTTTCAAGTGGAGCTTATACTCAAGTAAAATAATGAATGTGCA